TGTTATGTCTTATTACGTTTATGGCCTATATATAAGAAGCGTAGGTATGTAAACTTATACTTATTATGTAAGTAAACCTAGTTAAATTAATTATTGGTGTAATCCAACTGTCTACTTCGAGTGACATAGCAATTAATTTTAGGATTACTGACGGGGATTAGTTAAAGACCACATGTGGACAAGATGATATAGATACTCATATGTATGCACGAGGAAACACAATCGATTATAAAATGTAGATGGAATGTGAACTTTTTGGCTCAGACCATGACATTAAAAACGGTCCAAACAACAATGATCTGTCTAAGCTTAGAGATAAGTTCCAAAATGCGACTTACCACCACAGATGACATCAGCCAGGTTGGTCTGCACACATTGGTGCGTCACCGCTCCATCTCGCAGGGTCGTGATTTCTCCATAAAGTTGGTGTAATGCCTCTTGGTCCGACATCAGTATAGTACGGGGTGAAGGACAGTCATCCTCGATGCTGTTTGCGTGGTGACGAGAAGATGATCTGGATCGGGAGCGACGGCGTCTGAAAGAGATATTGATTGTTAGGAGAAGTGCCTTCAAAACGAGTGGTGATAAGTTTCAGATAGAAACACACGTCCGTTTCTCAAATCATGGGTAAATTATGATCATTGTAGTCTTCTCTTGTTTTCAAAATGCTTTAAAAACTAAAAAAGTTATACGTAACTTAGTAATAATAAATAGGAATATCCACGAAATACCTAATCCTCAGTTAATGCGCATACGACGTGTGAGAGCAATGGCCGCGCACCATTGTAAGGATCTTGCCAACTTTGCTAACCGTTATACCATAAAACTATCAACTTTAGAACAAGATTTAGCACTTTAGAAGAAACACACAAAAATGCTAAAACACACTTCCGTTATTCGCAAGAATAATGTCGGTCAACGGTAAGAATGCTATAGCTAAAGTTGGTAAACAGAAAATTCCCTTAAAAGGCAAGCGCTTCCAAATAGCAACGTAAGCGATGTTGAATACAAGTGACCCAGAACTATTGTGGCAGTCAATGGAGGCTTCGATTCAATGGGAAGGGCAATCGACCGGCTTGATGATGGAAACATAACAGATAACAAATTGTATAAAGGAAATAGTATACGTATAAGATACAAACTGAGGTGGAGGAGGATTTACGAATTGAAGTGTTATAAAATAATATAAATTGGAAGGATGAATATTAGGGTTGAAAACTAGTGGATTCTTTTGTTAGCTTTGCTTTATTTAATTTTGTCGATTTTGGAATTTTTTATAGTTGCACACCAAATGCATCTATTTGGGTCGTTGTATGGAATTGATCTGATCCCAACATACATACATAATAATTATGTTGTGACTAATGTTAAAGTGCTGTGGTTTCTTATTATTTATATTATTTCCATATTTTCTAACGAAGTAATCGAACGAATCATGAAAATGAAATTAAAATGTAATATGCAATGTAAAGAAGTAAGAATATAATATTACATAATAAATGCAAAAGTTACAAAATAGTTGATTTCAGAGAACAATGCAGCAAAGAATTAAAACGATTGTAAAGCTTAACAAGAAATACAGCAAAGACATGAAAATGCAAATGAATCTAATTAAACCGAAGCAAGCTAGTCTTTTTGCTGTAAACGAAGCTAAAGGATCTGGTTTAAGTTATTCCAGATATGTACAAGTTTGGCCTCATTTTGATAACAAGAAACTTGTTGAAGTCGATCGCTAGTCGCAACTAGTTTTAGATAAGATCCCTGTTTAGATGGATATGTTGGAATGCAATCGATGAAAGAGCCGCATACTGAATAGACTGAATTATATCCTAATCTTTGTGTTGAAAGGAGAGAAGTTAGACCTAGTTTGAATATTGATGCCGCTGATGTATAAGACGGAATAGAAGAGATTGAGGTCCATACAATAATAGATCTTATTTTCCTGCCAACTGATGACAAACGTACTTTTACTAATTGCACAAACTCAAAGATAAGTTTTAAAGTAAAAACAAACTAGAGGTAATATACGGAAAGTAAACATCTACAAATATACGTAGGTACAACCTAATTGTCGACAGATATAGACACATTCAGTTAAGTCATTAGACCAAAATTGTTACCTATGCATCTAGTCTAGTAATCAATAGAGTAGGTGTTACACAATGTATCCAAAACATACGCCTTCACACATAATTACTTAACGATTGTCTAATTTTGCGTAGATATCGTTTTTTGTCATTTGCCACAGCTTCCACTCGACATTCAATTTATTTGTACACCAATTTGTCTTTTTGTTGAGCCTTGGAATATTTATAAACATCGCCAGTAACATTACGTTTTTTATTACAACCAAATAAACATTATTTAAAACCACTAATAGGACACACTATTTATTTTAATGATTGGCTGCGTATAATTTATGTTTTACTTAATCAATTTCTTCATGTGTTTCTGTAATATGATTTAAGTCTTTTTCATTTCATTTAAGGTTGTATTTTGTCTGTGTATTGTCTCTTTGATCATCGTCACCCGGATTCTGCTACCAAAATCATAGCCCATTGTTTTTTTGCTGTCATTATAAAATCACAGTGTTTTTGTAATGCGAATTTGACAGTCGACGGAATTATTTTACGGGTTTGTCATTTTGCATTAGCAATTTTCAATTGAATGTCGACAGGTAATTAATTAGTCGATTGGTTAATGTTTTTTGTTTCGTTCATTCACGATTGACATAATCAGTAGCTTTGTGTTTGTAATAATAGCTGAAGTGTTAGGACTGGTGTGGGTTCAAGAATCCGATAATTATTGAATACCTCCTAATTTTGTGGTTGGAAGCAATTTGTTTTTCGGGCACCTACACACAATAATACTAATAATTATTACTCTATTACGTTTGGCGCCAACCAAGGATACTGAATAGGTAGCTAATAACCAAGATGGAGGAGATATAATGTAATGAAGTTTTTTTTAAATAATGTTTCCTTTTGAGCTCATCAGTAAAAAAAGTACCAATACCTAATATAAAGATGAGCCAACCATGTCGCAATAATTTGGGTATGAAAAGAAATTAAAGAGCTGTACATTAGAAGATCTGAATAAAGAATGATCAGCAATCAATAATGAATCAGTAAGCTAATAGTAAAGCCATTAGCAATATTGCAAAATTTCTAGATACGGGCCAAGGCCAGCAGCAGACTCCTAAAAATCTAAATCTGATGATTCTCAACCTTGTTTTCAATAATAATTCACACAGTGTAGATAATGTATGAAGTGGTGAGATAATAAGCAATCACCTTCGTGAAATAATAATGTATCGACCTCACAAATTATGAAACGACACCTACGTTACGGTCATAATAAGCGAATGGAAGAATTATTACTGTTTGTGGCATTGGAAGGACGATCGGACATAATAATGTCAGGTCAAGAGTACCTGGGTACAGAAAACCGCCCACAATTAAGTAAGTGAGACATTACACAGATATTCAATGCAATATTTATCTGCAATATGACTTGACCCGAAGATGGGGACCATAAAATCAAATCAACCATATTTGATGAAATTAGACACAGTCCGTTCGTTATTTCAACTAGATTAAACATTTTTTGCTCTTTATGTATTGTGTTAGACTGTTGTTGATATTTTGTAAGACAGGTAGGTATTAGTCATTGTGAACAACAGAAGTAAAACTAATGCATTTATTCCGAGCCATTTATTAACGTTTAAAAGATAACGATTAAAAGATAAAAACCAATAAACTTCAATTTTGTGTATGCTAAACGAAGCTGAAAATACCTCGGATTTATCTGGCAAACAGATCCGATTATTCACATTATTATTCAGTCGACTAAATTGACTTGTGAACGAACGGCCATTTTGAATTCGCACAGTGTCAAGTTGGCGCCAAAATTGGTCCTCTGAACGCATATCGCGTTCAATTTCGTACAACATGTCCGCTTGGGATTGACATACTAAAATGGCGATGTGACTCATGTTTTTTGAGATTTAATAAATATTAATACCGTGTTCTGCTCTCCTTTGGGCTTAGGTAACGACTTGTTGAATGCGTTTTGTGACGTCAATTCTTTATTTGTATTCATAACAGTTGATGGAATACACAAGTAATCTGACTTAAGCATTTTTTATTTGTGTCAATGTCATTTCCCTGGGGGATAGGAAACATTTAACATTTGAATCTGTTTCACGCTTCGGTTTCACAAGTTTGACGTTTTTTACAGACTCTGATTAATATGATCATTGTGCTGTACATTGTAAATAAACTATGAAAATAAATCTGTAATTCCGTTATCACTTTTTCTATCCTTTTTTGTGTCAATATCACGACAATTCAATTCCATTGTCAATTGTCTAATTTGATACGACCTAGTTTTTTGATAGCAATAATTCTATTTTAATTGTTCCTAAATTATTAAAATCAGAATTTAAAATTCGAAAATTGTGAGCTACAAAAACGGTTTATTAGTTTTTGTTGTAGACAGCTCGACTGCAGAACTGTCAAAACTGCGATGAATTTTGCAATGAAACAAACTTGTGCAGTAAATTCCCGATTCATAGAGTTGGAACTAGTTACGAATTCGTATTTAGGTTGTAAAAACTTACTCAGGCGTGACTATAAAGAAGCCCCTCGATGTTTGGTATATTTTCCTCTCCTGCATCAGCTGAGCGAGCGTGTCGTACACAACCTCCTGTGATGGTGTTTGCATCGATGGGAACTTTGCTGATAGCGATGTTCGTATGCTTTCCAACGTTGCTGATTGTCCCTGTAAAGAAGAAAACAGTTATGAAGTCAGTTGTCTGAATGAAATTGGTAGGAATTTGAGATCAATTGCTCCTTGATTATATCTGAGAAGTATTTCAGAAAACCTATTAAAAAGTGTTATGTATTAAATTACAGGCATTACAATATGCAACATCAACCGATAAGATCTATTGATTACAATCCGTTGCTCCTATTTTAGATCCTCATTCCACAACCAATGTCAAAGCAGATACAATTATCATTTTAATCAATTCTTCAAGCTGCAATACCGTAATGAATTGAGTATTCAGCAATGTTGTGTGATCTAGAATAGGTAACATTGCTGATCGATCAATCTGATTCTAAACAATGATTACTCAAGCATGGAGTGACCAAATTTCGGCCATCAATCAATTATTATCTAGATCTGCTCGACTTAGCAGGATGTCTTCATTGAAACTAACCTTCACTATTTAGACATTTGGCATTGAATTTCATATTTGGTCAAGATATGATCTTTACTATTATAGGCATAGAGTTAATGCTATAACTATTGTCAGCTGTGGAATCTTATTGTGCGTGTAGACTTGACCTGTTTATTGTAAAAGGAATATCTTTTATTTAGATACATTCATCTCTGATGATCAGATTCTTTTGTATCGATTTATGGTATTACTTTCAGTTAAAGTTACCGATTTGTTGAACATGCTTACCGATCAGATCTTTTAGCCATTCAAAACTAGCTTCTTTACAAGAAAATAATTATAAATTCTAATCAAAACATTGCTAAACGATTTCCATTACTTGCTTAGCAGTTAATCAATGGCTACCAAATAGTTGGCTCACGCAAGAGATAAGCCAGCTACTTGTCACTTGTAACTGAGTCTAGGTCTTTGAACCCAGTTTAATTTATTGCTGTATCATAGCCCAGGGCTATAACATACCTTGCTGTGACATAGTAAAGTTCCAGTTTAGATTGAGTCATGTCTATTTATCTAAAATCTAGATTCTTGATCTGTAGCAATTAATAGTTTATTCAGTAGCAATATTTCATCAATAACAATAATGTCTGCTTTGATTGATGGTCTAGAAGTCGTAACTGTGACTGTCGAAGGTGGTGGCACAAGTTTTATTTTTAAAATGACCGCAATGTAGGTATGGTAACTAGCAAGCTAAGAGTTGATGTAGGTATTAGGATTTAGGATTATCGGAAAGGGTTTATTTTTGTGTGTTTGTCGATGGAATATAAGAGAATGTTAGATATTTTGGTATTAGGTCTTCTTTCATAATAGTGATTCTATTTCATCAATATCGCCCACACTTTGAGTATCTAAAAATTAACCTGTGGCTAATCTTTCCATATTGCATTACAAAGTAATAAATCAATTCATGTTTGAGCAAATTTGATCTCGTTCAGTTATCGGTAGGCAATCTCAACAATGTTTGGTAATAAAGCCTTACGGACACAGAATGTGACAGAAATTAATGAGCATCCATTGTAAAGTGTGTGTAAATATTATGGCAGCATGATTATCTATATGGTTGTATGATTAAGTATTATCTGATTGAAATCACTCCTATATTGATTGAGTACTCGCAAGCAGTTTTTCCGACTAAATGGGTTCAGGTCAGGGCACCGTCTCGTAGAGCAGGAGTCTGGTACTCCCTCTCGCCTCAACCCAGCGGGAGAAGTAATTGAATGGTTCCCCGCCCGTACAAAAATGGGATAATTTCCTCATTTAAAAGTTTCTGTAGTTACACGCAGGCTGTAGTTGTTGCTTACCCTCTATAACATTACACTCATATTAGAACACAACTACTAAATGTTTATTTTATTTTTGAGGGGAAAAATCATACAATGAATTCTCTGAGAGAGAGTGTTAGACTCTTACTGACTAAAAACCTCCCCGTTCCTTCTCCTGCACGTCGAGCCGGAGCCCCGGTAACCCGTTAAGTTCTCCGCGGCTGGGTATCGGCATCAGTCCTATTGGGCCCCATCTGTGGTGATCTGATGATTCTTTGAGGTGCACGCGGAACTCGACACGCCGTAGGCTTAGGCCTGGTCTTTAAATTTCTTGCATGGTCTAAAAGACGTGATAGTAAGTCGTATTTTGTTTACTTTTTTACACGAGCGAGCATTTTGATTTAACTGTCTTCATTAACGTGGATATTTTCTAACATAATTTCTGCATTCTTTTTCAAAGAACATTCATAATTATATGACATGTTCATCATACCTCGACCTAGTAATTAAATTCCCAACGCGACCACATTAAACGTAATCTCGGTCAGACATTACAGAGATGAAAACTCGCACTTTTTAATTGAGTCATTTCCTTTTGAAGTTATAAAATATCTCACTAACGTTTATCTCTTTCTAGGTAGACTGTTAGAATTTTATTATATATTATAGTCCAAGGCTATCGAAGATTTTTTGAAATCCACACGCTAACAGAGTAATTAATTCTTTCATAAATTCCGCTTAAAAACCGACTTCCACCCCTGCTTTTTTGAAGCCAGTTTATTCATATACTTATATTAACCCTTTGAGTATCGTCATTATAGTCACAATTAAAGAACAATAAGTTGCAATCACCGGTGTCCTCGCGGTGTTCGACAGTTTAAAACCTTCTTCTAACATAAATACCGCGTCAAAATCGGTTCAGCCAATCGCGAGGTAATTGCGCACAAACGTACATCTTACATGCAGGTCAAATTGAAAACCTTCTTTATTTTGAAGTCGGTTAAAAATATCATTTTTACACTAAGTTGCAAGCAAAAACCTTATATCGAAATAATTTACTTTTGCACTCAAATATGTTCTAATAAATATATGGAACCTGTTATACAAGACTACACGAGTTACGATATTAAAGACCTTTACATTAGACGGCTCGACACGGGCGTGGTCCAAAGAATGCTGTATGACACAATGGTGACATGTCGTCTGTAACTGTTCTAGAGCTAGTCTTGCAAAATCAATGAACTTAATATATTGTCTTAAAATTGGTTCAACGATGAATGGATTGGTTTTATTTCCGTTTCTTTTGTTTAAATGTCGATGTGTTCTCTTGTATTACCTTATTTTTATATCTCTTATTTATTACACTGATACATTGCCTATTTATAAAGGATTAAATCACCTGCTACTTTCATCTCTGCACTGCTTAAAGATTGACTGGGAGACAATGCCCAAGGCATTAAGTCCACCTGTACACACTTTTTTTTTATTGGGACAAGCCTGCCACAACCCTCCAAAAAACCGCTGCAACTCCTGTAAGCCAGGATCTACAGTAGATACATCCATGAAAACACCAGAACATTGAAGTCCGGCGCGTCCCAGGGACATGGGTAACTGTATTGGTTCAGTGAGTGAGTGAATCAGAAGATATTATAAGAGGAGAAGAAAAAAAACTATAGTTTCCACTTCCCTCGGTGAATTACCTGTACACACTTGTTGAATGAAGTTGAAAATAAATAAATATGTATTTTTTTTTAGATTATTATCTAAAAATAAAATCTAACCTACAATTCAAAATTGTATGCTAAGCAAAAGCTTTTATAGGTGATTACGGTCTTTTGCTACTCCTCAGAATAAGTTCAGAGTAACAATAAATCTCATTAAAAGCGATTCAAAGGCTTTTGAGGGAAAGTATTTATTATATATAAAAGTCATTATCGTTTTTATGATATTAGTAAAGTCGATCAGAATGTAAGACATCCATAGCTGAACTAAGGCTTCCATACCAGCCAGTTAAAAGCGACCTGTATTCTGGCCTGTGACCTTTATCAGATCGTCTGTCCAACGCGTCTGGTACTCTATTAAACCAAATTAAAATTCATATATTTATTCACCAATAACCTAAATCACGGCTCTTAACTAATTAACCTATGAACTTCAAAAACGTTTTAAGAAAAATAAACAAGAAACTCGTTCCGGCAAACTATTAGAAATCGATGCAATCAAATCATTATATCTATGGGCAAAAACATCGAACATGATTGATAGGCAATAATTTATCCTTCAAAAAACCTCAATACTAGAGAAACCGGTAAAGTTTTTGCCTAAACCAAACAAATCTGGTATTCCCTGAAGGGGTAAACAGAGATGCTAGTAGTATTTTTGCTCCAAAGAAATAGAAATTATATGAGTTGTAAAAATTTCTGAAACCGTTAAAAGGTCCTCTGTACTGAGGTCTACCGAATACTCGATCCAACTGCATCACGGGGTACATTGTTAATTGTTATCAATAACATAGATTAATTAGTAAACATAATCGAATAATTAAGGAAGAGGAGAAAATTACCCCGTTCTTAAGTTCGTCCTACAGAAGTCCTTATGTAATCTAAAAGATCTTATGTCAAATCCGAGAATTTAATACAAATTCTAAAGCTTAATCCTGCTGCCAAAACTCAACCAGCAAAGTATCAAAGCAACTTTAGTCCAATAAATTCAAACTGTCCTAGTACCAGCTTGTTCTTTAATAAATTAATGTTACTATCTAGTATCCTAGTCTAAACACAATCACAAGAATTCCTTTGCAGGGAGGTATTGCATCAAGATCGAATAAAACATTTTGTGACAAGCCAAGGAAATCAGAATAACGATCGGAAACTAGCACTCAAAACAGCCCTGTGTAAAATTAAGATGAAGTAAGGAATATAGCTAGTTTAATATTCGGTCATTCACTGATTCGGCTCCGGCATTCTGTTTTTGCTTTGGAAACAATACGAAAAGGTTATAAGCGTGCTGTCAGCGCGCTGTCGGCACGCCGGCGGCGCGCTTAGGGCTGCTGTATGTATATTGACTTTATGGAATATGTCATACGATATACGATTTAAAGTTCATATTTAAATGACAGGGTGGCTTGTTAGGTGCATGATGTCTTTTATAAATTGTTTGTTTAGTGTTTTAGAAATTTTTTGAGATAGTTTTGAGTCTGGAAATATGCCTCTTATGTAGTATGCAATAAACTTTTCTCCTATAGGTAATATGGGCTCGCATCGCAACTGATAAACCAT